TTATTATTATTATTATTATTATTATTATTATTATTATTATTATTATTGCCTTCAAATCAGTCTTTACTTCTGGTACTATACTGATAAATTCATGCAGATTTCTTAGCAATATTTTTTCAGAAGTGTTTTGCCCCTGTCTTCTTCCTAGAGTTAAGAAACAATGACTGGCTCAGTCATCCAACTTGCTTCAGACCTGAGGCAGGATTAAAGCTCATGGTCTCCTGATTATGTGATTTTATCCAGTATCTTGTTGTTTTGGTGCCTTTAAATCAATGTTGACTCCTGGAGATTGCCTGGAAAGGTCCCACAAGTTTCCTGGGCAAGATTTTTTTAGCCCTAGTAAGCATACAGGTTTCCCTTGTATGCTTACTAGGACTAAGAATGTGTGACTGGCCCAAAGTCACCCAGGTGGCTTTGGGCCTAATGCAGGACCAGAACTGATAGTCTCCCAGTTTCTAGCCTGATGAATTAATCAGCACACTAAACCAGCTCTCTTATCCATTACACAAAACAAATTTTTATGTAAGACAATATGTAACACTAGAAAGTGCCTCATATTTGAACACAGGCCACAAATACCGAACAATAGATGCCTAGCAACACAGGATCTCTGGCTGTTCCTTTAATGCTATTTTCAACAAACCCCCCATTACTGAGGGAAATTTTGCTCCCAGAGCAAACTTTGAATGTTGGAAAAGAAAATAGATCTAATGGAAATTAAAATAAAACCAAATAAACAAATGATACCAGAGAAAATGTGCACGTCTTATCAGAACAACATCGCTTTCATGAACAGGTTGAATTTATAAATCAGCAGGGGTGCTTTTTAAGAATGCTTTGATTGAGCTCAGTGAAAATAAACATTTGTCTTTCCTGAGTCAAGTCCAATGGGAAAAAAACATTAAAACACAGACTGCACAGTCAGAAATATGCCTGTGTTTTTCCTTGACAGATTATTAGACTGCGCTTCAGCAGTGACAATGGGGCACATCAATTTTCAAGCAGAATAAATATATAGCGGCCTGGTGGCAAAAGCTAGTTGTGAACACCACCATTCAGTTTATACCCTACTTATGATCAAAATATTGGTACAGCACTGACTCCAAGAAGTAAGGGATGATAGAATATTAAGTCCTGAGACACAAAGACATTCTCAGTCCAAGATAAACCTAGGCAAGATACTTCCCTCATGTTTTTCTATTTCTGTGCCTTCTTCTCTGTACCAGCATCTCTTCTCTTCTGTCAACTACCATCACTCCTTTATTAGATTTCCTTTCTCCATATTAATCTAGAAAATATTTAGTCATCTTCACATCTTTATCAGAAAGAATGAAAAGATACTGGGAGCCAGTGAAACAACAGACAATATGTCTGTCAGAATATCTCAATTTATACATTGATTTTTTTTCTCCCCTCTGCATGTTTCTGAAAGGAAGTACAAATGGGAGAATGGTCAGCCCTTGACAAATACCCACTTGATACTGAATTGTGAGACATGCACACATAGCTACAAACACTATAATACTATTGCAGTTTTGTAAGCTATGGATTCTTCAGTTTCACTTCCAGAGAATAATTGGTTGTCCAATAATTGTAGCTATTGTTTCTACTGTACAGAGTGGCACAGTACAATTCTCTATCTGAGTTTCTGTGTCAGTCATCACTGCTTTCTCATTATTGTTTTCTTGATTCAGTGAATGAGCTTTACTTTCTTCTGCTTTGGCCTCTGGTTAGAATTCAACCAGGAACCTTCTAAATTACTTTAAGCCAAACTTGGTGATTTGGATGATTTCCAAACTCATAATTCTTCAAAGCATTTGGAAGGAGTTGCTCCATTTCTTCTCCTTCGTCTGTCAGAAACTGGATAGCAATCTAGACTGTTGTTTTATACAAGGAATACTTAAAATGATATGTGGTTATACACAAAGGAGCATGCCTCTTGATGTCTATAGAGATTCTCAATCATCCAGGTCATGGTTGTCCCAAAAGAGCTTTTTCCAACAGGCAACATTATTTCCTTGTTTTTTTCTTTGAAAACTATTTCAAAGTTTTGAACTGAAGAAGCTTCTTGGATGAGAAGCGAAACATTTTTTCAAAGAAAAACCAAGAGCCCAGTTGTCTTTTGGAAAAAGCATCTACGGTGCATGCCTCTTAATGCTTCCATGAGCTTTGATTACAATTTCTATCTTTCTCCACAGTCATGGAACCAGATGTGCTGGAGAAGTGTCAGCTGCAGCAAACAACAATATCTGTGGAGTTGGAGTGGCTTATAATTCGAAAGTAGCAGGTAAGGCTTAAAATAGATATTTTCTTCCCTAGCCACATTACTGTTTTATTAAAAAGAAAAAAAGGATGTATCAGAAGTAGATTATTTGCAGTATAAATTTCCCAGCATGTTATACTTGGGGGAAAAAATTAATGTATATACATTTGTCTTTTGGATATATAGAATTGGCCTCTTTCTTGGCTTCCCTTCCTATCTGAGTTTTTATTGATATCTTGTTGAATTATGTATTTGAAACCATAAAATACTAATAACAGATAGTCCTTGGCAGGAAGCTCATCTGATAAAGAGGTTGACCACAGGCCTTTAAGATGGAGACAAATGGATGGAGACTCCTCCTGCTACAGGAATGCTATTGATTATTGTTGTTGGCATTGATTCTTTGTTGCTATTATTTTTGTTAATATTTTATCATTTTAGAATTGTGTTGGTATGTTTAATTTCATACACTTATTCATGTATACAATGACTACAAACTATTCACAGTTTGTATGCAATAGGAACAGTATATGTTAGAATAGGAAGGAAGGAAGGAAGGAAGGAAGGAAGGAAGGAAGGAAGGAAGGAAGGAAGGAAGGAAGGAAGGAAGGAAGGAAGGAAGGAAGGAAGGAAGGAAGGAAAGGAAAGGAAAGGTTAAGATTGTTCTCTCAGAGTGGTAGCATGAATAATATTAGATTTGCCAAAAGTCTTTTGGGGAATTAAATTTTTGGTAGAGACCAACAATGTAATGAATTAGATTATAGTTGAGATCTAGCACCATCAAGTGGTCATTGAGATATTGGTGAAAACATCAGTAACTCAAATCCAGGAAGGTTGCAAATTATTCTTCACTTTTTAAACCTGTAGGTTTCAATAATGTCTTGGGAAAAAACGGAAAGAGTCATTTCAGATTTTATTTTAGAATAAATTCTAAAACTTTTATTTTGGAAAGGAAGCAAATTAGAGGAGGGAACTGGAAAAATACTTCTCTTTGATGAGTTTGTTTACCTTAAAGATTTTTTTTAAAAAAAAATCTAGCTGAGGAATTGTAACATTATAGTTCATTTCAGATATTGCTGTCTAGAATTTTTCACTGTAACTTATCAGGTCCTACAAATATCAGTTGACAATAACAAGATAATCAGAACAGAAACTTGGGCTGTTATTCATACTGGTATTAAGATGAAAGAGTTGACTTGGTATTTTATGTAATGTATTTGATCTAATAATTTTAATAAAAACCTTTTGTTTCAACTTTTTAACTTTCTATCTACTGCCATGTACATTTTCTATTTAGATACATGAAATCAAAACTTCCTTAAGTTTGGGTGAATTAGGTTTGGGTCTACAATATTGAACTTGCAAAAATTAATCTTGCATTCCAAAACTGTTCACATTTTTCATGAAAGAATCACTGCATTTACATTTACTTTATCTTGGATTTTAATCATGTTTTGTGGCAGGAAAAAAAATCCAATCATGGTTTGAATTTTTATGCCAGATTTTTTTTTTTAAAGAGATGTTCTAGGCTTTAAATTCTGAGTGTTGAAATCCCCTGCTGAGAAATATTATTATAAGTTTCTTGTTTGATTTCAGTTTTTTAAAATCTCTCTTTCTCCTTAATCTCTCCTTCTTTCTTTTTCTCCTCATCAATATATATTGATGGAACCTGTAGGTATCCGAATGTTGGATCAGCCATTTATGACTGATATTATAGAGGCTTCTTCTATCAGTCACATGCCTCAAGTAATTGATATCTATAGTGCTAGCTGGGGTCCCACTGATAATGGCAAAACTGTGGATGGGCCAAGAGAACTGACCTTACAAGCCATGGCAGATGGAGTGAATAAGGTAGTGCTTTGTTTTATGTTTTCCCACCCATACTATCACACTTCAATGAAAGTTACTTATATTATAGAAGATAATGAATTGCTTGTAAACATTACCAGAAGACCTCTCTTTTGAAGGACAGGTGAAAGTATAATAAATTATCAATACAAAAATCTGTTGTTCCGGTTCAATGATAATAGGGCATACAAGACAGAGGTGGTATTCAGCAGATTCTGACCAGTTCTGGAGAACCAGTAGCGTAAATTTTGAGTAGTTCAGAAAACTGGCAAATACCATCTCTGACTGGCTCCACCTCCATCTATTCTCTGCCTCCCAAGTCCCAGCTGATCGGCTGGGTCTTCTTTTGTTGCCCTGCACAGGAGAACGGAGCTGGAAAGCAGCTTAGTGGAGTGGGGAAAGAATGGGGATTTTACAGTATCCTTCCCCTGCCATGCCCACCAAGCCAAGCCACGGCTACCAAGTCATGCCCACAGAACTGGTAGTAAACATTTCTGAATCCCACCACTGATACAAGAGTTAAATGGTGGCTGATACAATGAGTACCACTTGGAGACTTTGCTATCTGGATACTTTACACATCATAAAGCAGGAAATTGTTAGTAGGCTTGATAGTTTGTTTTCCCACATATATCTTTAATGGGAGAGGAAGTGCTGCAGCAAGCTGAGATTTCAACAAAATGATGAAATGTGCCTGACTGTGACATCATGATGCTAGCTCCAACATCACAATGCATTTATAAAAGTGGCAACGCTCCTGTGACATCATTGCAATGTTTGTCCCATCATTTGTCCCTTCTTGCCCGGTAGACATCCATATATATAAATATAAATATACACATAAAATGCAAGAGGAAGCAAGCAAGACTATATTCACACACTTGAGATTGGCCTCCATTGGCCAACTATTTAATTCAAGGGAAAAGCACAGGGCTGTTCCTTATTGGCGCGGGTTTTCTAATTACATGAGAGAAGCTTTGGACCTTTGGCACATGTAGTTTGCAGATACACTATAAGTACTGCTGAGAAAAAAGAAAACATTTCATTATACAACAAATGGGTAAGCTGGACAATTTGTTCCTACTTTATTTATTTATTTATTTATTTATTTATTGGCTTTTTCCTCTTATAAATATATGGTGATGATGTTCACAACAACATCATGAAGGATCAGCCTCAGGGCTTATTTAAGGAATTCATAGAATAACAGAGTTGGAAGGGACCTTGGAAGTCATTTAGTCCAACCCCTTGCTCGATCAGGAGAGTATATTCCAAATATTAGCCTCTATCTAGGATCGAACTCACAGCCTCCTGATTGTGAGGTGAGAGCTCCATCTTTAGAATAGAATAGAACAGAACAGAACAGAACAGAACAGAACAGAACAGAATAGAATAGAATAGAATAGAATAGAATAGAATAGAATAGAATAGAATAGAATAGAATAGAATAGAGTAGAATACTTTATTGGCCAAGTGTGATTGGACACACAAGGAATTTGTCTTGGTGCAAATGCTTTCAGTGTACATAAAGAAAAGGTACATTCGTTAAGAATCAAGAATGATAACATACAACACTTAATGATAGTCATAGGGTACAATCAACAATCAAATCATACTAGGAAACAGTCAATATAAATTGTAAGGATACAAGCAACAAAGTTACAGTCCTACAATCACAAATGGGAGGGGATGGGTGATAAGGAGTGATGAGAAGATTAACAGTAATAGTAGTGTACACTTTGTAAATAGTTGAACAGTGTTGAGGGAATTATTTGTTTAGCAGAGTGATGGCTTTTGGGAAAAAATGTTCTTGTGTCTAGTTGGCGTCTGGTGTGCAGTGCTCTATAGAATCGTTTTGAGGGAAGGAGTTGAAACAGTTTATGTCCGGGATGTGAGGGGTCTGTAAATATTTTCACAGCCCTCTTTTTGACTCATGCAGTATACAGGTCCTCAATTGAAGGCAGGTGGGTAGTAATTGTTTTTTCTGCAGTCCTAATTATCCTCTGAAGTCTGTGTCTGTCCTGTTGGGTTGCAGAACCAAACCAGACAGTTATAGAGGTGCAGATGATAGACTCAATAATTCCTCTGTAGAACTGTATCAGCAGCTTCTTGGGCAGTTTGAGCTTTCTGAGTTGGCACTTCTTTGTTGTGCTTTTTTGATGATGTTTTTGATGTTAGGTGGGTCCATTTTCGATATGTGATATAGTAGAACCTAGAAATTTGAAAGTCTCTACTGTTGATACTGTGTTGTCTAGTATTGTAAGAGGCGGTAGTATGGGAGGGTTTCTTCTATATAGGGAGAAGAGAAGTGGAGATAGCACACAGCCTTGGGCGGCCTCTGTGCTGATTGTACAGGTATCTTATGTGATTCCGCCTAGCTTAACTGCTGCTTCCTCTCTGTTAGGAAGCTTATGATCCACTTACAAGTGTGTTCAGGTACTGCTTTAATTTACTTAGAAGAGTGTCTGGAATGATGGTATTGAATGCTGAACTGAAGTCTACAAAGAGGACCCTTGCGTAGGTATTTGGAGATTCAAGGTGTTGTAGGATGTAATGGAGAGCCATGTTAACAGCATCATCTGTCGATCTATTTGCTCGGTATGCAAACTGCATGGGATCTAACAGTGGATCCATGATGGTTTTCAGGTGGGACAGCACAAGCCTTTCAAAGATTTTCATAACTACAGATGTTAGAGCAACTAGTCTGTAGTCATTCAGTTCCTTGATGGAGGGCTTCTTTGGCACTGGGATGATGGTAGAACGTTTGAAGCAGGAAGGAACATAGCACATCTCTAGTGATCTATTGAAGATTCGGATGAATATGGGGGCCAATTAGTCAGCACAGACTTTTAAGCAAGAAGGAGTTATCTTGTCTGGCCCTGGTGCTTTTCCTGGCTTCTATCTGTGTAATAGATCTTGCACTTCTTTTTCTGTGATCACCAGAGGTTGTGAGCCCAGTGGATTGGGGTCAGTTGTAAGAGGCTTGGCTGTTGTTGGTGTGTTTGAGATGTGGGTTGTGGAAATTGGTGGCTATAGTTTCTTTTCAAACCTGCAGTAAAACATATTCAAATCATCTGCTAGTTGTTGATTTCCTTCTGCCTGGGAAGGAGGTTTGCTTAAGCCAGTGATGTTTTTAAGAGTTTTCCACATGTTTGCTGGTTCATTTGTTGAGAATTGATTCTTTAACTTTTCAGAGTAGCTTCTTTTTGCTGCTCTGATCTCTCTTGTTAATATGTTTCTGGCCTGGTTGTATAGCATTCTGTCACCTTTTCTGTAGGTTTCCTCTTTGGAACGATGTAGCTGCTTAAGTTTAGCTATGAACCAAGGTTTATTGTTACTATATATTTGCAGGTTCCTTGTTGGTACACATAAGTCTTCGCAGAAGCTAACATATGATGTTACAGTATCTGTGAGCTCATCTAGGTCTGCAGAGGCATCTTCAAAAACATTCCAATCACATTTTGGTTAATTTTGTGTACAGATTTCTATGTATTCAAAATGAAATTCTTATAGAACCTCAACTTAACAACAATTATGTATCTAGAAAAAAATGGTTTGGATTCAAAAGGCATCTCTCTGTAAAATTCTGCTTCAGTAAATGAATCCATTGACCTGATATACTTGTTGACCCAAAACAGTGCTATCTTTTGTGTGGATTTTCCCACCCCCACATCCAATCAATCAAGTGTACTTAGTGGCTATCCCTTAGCTGACATGAAGCTGCATTTGCTCATGGGTAGACAGGAACACTTGAATTTCTATCAGCCCCACCTACCCATTGGCTAACATAGAACTTCATTGTCTACCAGGTGGTTCTTTCCATTCACAACCTTTGTTAGCTCAGTATATATCTACTGATTAATAGCAGAATTAGCTTTTGAGTGGCTTTGCTACTCTGAACAACTTGAGGGAAGCACGAGGCACAAGGGAAGACTGAAGAATGGGGATACGGTTTGCTACTGGGGAGTCACTGTAGGAGAGATTATTGCTGCCTGGTCCAAGATTGAGAGTTTCTTGAAAATATCTAATTCTCCACTGTGTGATTTCACAAGATTGGATGTGACAGGAGCTTAGCTTACTCTAGCACAAGGCTGTCAAACTCGTGGCCCGCAGGCCGGAGGCATCACACACTGGCCATGCCCACACCCGATTTAGCAAACGGGGGAAAGTCACAATATGTCACGTGATGCCGCCGTGACGACACAAGTTTGACGCCCCTGCTCTAACCCTCATTTTATGGTAGCTGCTAGGACAGGGCTGTCAAACTCCCAGCCCACAAGCCGTATGCATTACTCATTGGCCATGCCCATGCCTGTTTTAGCAAAGGGGGGAAAAGTCCCGATATGTCATGTGTCACGGCCATGATGACGTGAGTTTGGCACCCCTTTGCTAAGAGATTTCAGGTGATTTTTAAAACTTGGTTAAAAACAATGGAGCTTTAGATGAATCAGTGCAGCATTTAACATCAGTATTTTATTTTTAGTAGAATAAAAGAAACTTGTGGAATTTATCTATCAAATAGACCTGCAATTTTTATTAAAGGACCAAATGTTTTTATATTAATTTTTATTTAGATTATAAACAAATTGGAAAGGAAAAGGAACACTATACTTTAACTACTTTGATAGCCATGTAATGTCAATTATTACATTAAATGAACAGAAAATTAACACAGGAGTAGTAATTGAAGAGAACAGACAGGTACAGGAAAATGTGCTGCACTTAGCATATTGTGTTCAATTGAAAGAAAATTAGTGCTAATGTCATTTTAAAAGCAATTCTATGGTGTTTCATTTAAAATATGGTTGAATTCATAATAAAAAGTGGCTATCTTCCTTAAGAGCAAATTAGCCGAAGGCTGTACTTGGTCTGGTTTCATTCTAATAGGCTGCAAACCTTACAACTGTTACTATCCCAATCTAATCTCATGTAGAATTCAGTTGCCAGACAAATTGACCATAGTTTAGTCCTATGTTCTGAAAAGTTAGGCTTTAGGGATTTCT